CAAACCACAAGAAAAAGTTTGTAATGCGTATTTCAATAAAATAATCCTTATCAATTTTTTAAATCAATATCTGATAATTACGTCAAACGTTCTGGAAAAAAAAACTAGAAAAACTGAAACGCGAAGAGTAAAATGATATAGCAAATTGGAAAAAAAATATTTTACCGAGATAAAATTCAGAGTTTTGTGCAAATTATCATAAATATACGTGCCATTGATCAAAATGTCAATGCGAAACTATGAGCATAATTTTTTTTTTTTACTATTTTTACAGAAATAATTTTTCGAACATTTGATGAATTTCTAGGCCCTGAGATTCCTTAGATTTAGAATTATCATCCGTTACCTTACCGGATATGGTATCTCAAAAAAATAATATATATATATATATATATAAAGATATCATAAATCCTNTCATATATATATATATATATATGTACAATATATATACAAATTTAATTAATAATTTGCCTATGAATATTTATTGTCCCACAATTTTCAGTTTAAAGTATAGAAAGAAGCTTACAAGTTGTTTATTAATCAATATTTTTTTTACTTTACTTTTTTGAGAAAATGTTTGCACAGTGATTGTCTTTTAGTGTGTTTTTAATTATTTTTTATAAGCTACAAATTTTTCTCTTATTTTGATAATGAGTGAGTATTACTTTTTGAAATACACACTTAAAATAGTATAAGAGAGTAATTTAAAAATTGTTGATATTCAAATTCATTTTTTACACAATATTACACATTTGATAAATTTTGACTTCGTTAAGTGAGTGCCGTTTCGAAACTCATGGCTCCTTTTTCTAAAAGGAAGCACCCTACCATTTTTTATTCCTAGAGAATTCTGGAATTCTATCAGCTATAATTCGCTACATATTCCGAAAAGTGCCACTATTTATCTGAGCAGTTTATAATTATTCTTTTTATTTTCTTTTTAAAATGGCCTCAAATTATTATTTTGCAGTTGGCAAACTAATGACATAAACTCTATATTTTGAGAATGATATAAACTCGATATTTTTTAGATATAAACTCTATATTTCTCCTATCCTTTGCGTTTTTAACTTAAATTACCATTTTTACCTTCCATTTTTTATTCCTGGAGAGAATTCTGGAATTCTATCAGCTATTAGCTATAATCCGCTACATATTCCAAAAAGTGCCACTATTTATCTGAGCAGGTTATAATTATTCTTTTTATTTTCTTTTTAAAATGGTCTCAAATTATTATTTTGCAGTTGGCAAACTAATGACATCAACTCTATATTTTGAGAATGATATAAACTCGATATTTTTTAGATATAAACTCTATATTTCTCCTATCCTTTGCGTTTTTAACTTTAATTGCCATTTTTACCTGCCATTTTTTATTCCTGGAGAGAATTCTGGAATTCTATCAACTATTAGCTATAATCCGCTACATATTCAGAAAAGTGCCACTATTTAACTGAGCAGGTTATAATTATTCTTTTTATTTTCTTTTTAAAATTGTCTCAAATTATTATTTTGCTGTTGGCAAACTAATGACATAAACTCTATATTTTGAGAATGATATAAACTCTATATTTCTCCTATCCTTTGCGTTTTTAACTTAAACAGTTTTAAAAATTTGTGAAAGTCTTATTCTCGGAAATAATTGTTTTTCAATTACTTAATCGACAGTATATATTTAAAAGTTATACAATTGGTGCTTGTCACGGAAACTCTGTGTTGCTTACAAATAATTTACGAACGATTTCCTGGGATGACTTGTTGGTGTGTTTTAAATGTTTTTCAGAGAAAACACGCACAGTGAAAACTATTTTCGATATTATCCTCACATTTCTCAAGTTCGTTAAAATGGGCGTGTCTCAAAACGTATCGTCTTTTCCTAAAATCCCCCAGTATCTAATAAAGAATTTATAGCCCTCTTCGTGGCCAAGTATGTTCTTAGACGCCAGACCCTGTGTAAAATAAATTATAAGTCGTTAAAAAGTCGCCAAACGATGTCAGTTTTTTATATATTTTTCTAACGTTTATTTGCATTGGCTACATTTTAGAGTTTTGTTTTAAAACATATTCGTTGTTTCATTTCCGTATCCACGTGGATACGGTTGAAAACAATTCCAAAGAATAGCGTGTGCTTTCTCAAAATAATTGCACCAACACGTTTATTTTTACTTTTAAGTTTGAAATACGTTTATTTCATTTTATGATTTGACAGCGTTTTTTTCCCCCTAACTTATCCATGTAGTTTCTTTTATTGGTTACTTTAGAGTCGATGGTTAATTTTTAAAACATCTACATAAATGCATGCGTGATTGTCGAGCAGTAATTTTTTCCATCAAAATTTACATATTTTTTTTCGTCCCATTTTTATCTGTATTGTCTGGGCGCCTTTAAGTTTCAAAGAAGTTTAAAATCAATCAAAACTCCATTTTTTTACCGCTGAATTTTATCATCGAATCTCTTTAAAACGCTGTGTCAAACATTAATCATTTTGAAATGCACGAAATTTGAACATTTTAATCATTTTATATTCATAAAAAGAGGGAAAATATTGTAGCTTAAAATTAGCTATTTTCTTTTTTCCAGCTACACTTTGAGCTCTTTAAAATCATTTTGTAAAGTAAGTGCGTTTTCAAAATTACACAAATGTTACTTGCAAATATTAAGTCCAAAGTTCATATGCGTTTTCACCGAGCTCAAATTTATATATATTTTTAAATATTTTATTTCTTTTTATTAATAATAAATTAAAAAATTTTTTAAAAAAATAATACAAAATCTCTTTTTAAAAATAAGCACGTTTTGTGAAATACAAATAATATTCTAAAATTTGACATTCTACTTTGTGATTCTACTACATATTCTACTTTGTGAAAATTTCATTCCTTTTACAATTTTTAAATGTATGATGACGGATCATTTATAAAATCTGAATGTCTTTTTCAAAGAAACTTTTAATACTAAATATTAGAATCATCGAACGCCGACCAGGTGGCCGAGTGGTTAGCGTGCCTGACTGCGGAGCCATTGGACGCGGGTTTGAATCCTGCTCAGGGCATGGATGTTTCTTTCTTTCTCTGTGTTCTATGTCCTTTCCTCTTTGTGTGAATGTGACCCGCCCTATAAACGGGTGTGTGTTTGTGTGACGTGGGCGACGCTGCTCCACTGCCGTGGCTTCGTCACAGGTGCCCACTGGGTAACGAGAAGAGAGTAGCAGTTCTGGCATTTCTGTGGCCAATGGGACAAACCCCAAGTGCCCGCCAATAAAAAAAAAGTGAAAAGAAAAAGAATTACCGAACGCATGCCTTCAATAATCTTAACATTCTACTCTCATTTCGTAGAGTTGACGAAACAAAATTTTTATCGTATTCTGCCGTTTATTAATCAGATAAATAAAATTTATTTTTATTGTGGCATTAGATTTTTTACTTGTTTGCCCCTTGCGTTGTCTATTTTTTCCATGATTACTTTAGATGATTATTTTATTTTAGAAAATTGCATATTACTACAAATATGCTGTTCTATGTTAATAATACTGGGATCATTTGCACCTGTACCAACAGCTGCTAATAAAATCGAAATGTGAACATCACCGGACTCCTATCTACTTTCAAATTTAATTTGCCAATGCGAAAGAATTTCTAATTAGTGTATCGAAAATAGTTGAAACATGATAAAACAATTTTGTAGTAAAATTCTTAAAAATTAGGTGGAATACATAAAAAAAATGAAGCAAAAATGTAAAGATGTTAATTTTTAAAAGCTTTATTTTTACTATAGCTCAATAAAGTAAAACAAACAGATTCATGAAAAAAAAGTAATTGTATTTTGATACATATTCGCCAGACGATTTCGAGAGGCCCTTGAAATATTGGAGCCTCCTACACTGTAAAAAATTTGGAGTATAGTTGTCATCATTTTTAGGTTTGAGGTAAACTAACATTTTTTACAGTGCATGTAGTCACATTTTTCACTTTTATAGCTTTAATTACTTATTTATTAATTTTTTGTTAGTTGCTTTACAAATAATAAGCGTTAGAAACAATTTAAAACGTCATTGCAAAAATATTTCGTTTAAAAAACAAACACATTTTTAGCAATATATTCACTCTAATTCTTTCAAGCAATTGTTATTTTTGACAATTGTTTTTTGTCCAATAATTACAATTTTTTACTTAAAAACGTTTTAAGTTTACCACAAATGTATTTAGTTTACCGCAAAAATGATGGCAGTGTAGGAAAACTGATGACTTAGAAGCCCTTTGAGGCTTTCGTCTATTTTATTGAAATAGATTATATGATTGTTTTTTCGAATTTCGTTCCTAAAAAGGGAAAAACTCAACATTTTTCTATTACAGCCGAAATCGCTTATAACTAACTTAGCTCTGATTTAAAGAGAATCCGGATTTAGCCAAGAAATCGAAAATACTTGGTTGGTAAAATGTTCAGACTACTGGACAATAGCAACCAAACCTCAGTTTTAGCGAGCAATATTTTTGTGATTTATAAAAGTTCTTCTTAATTCCACCTCTGCTGCTCAGCTAATCTCATTTTAGAAAAAATTCTCATTGATGTTTTTCGGATCACTGGGTTCTTTTTTAATTTCTGCGATGTTTTTTCATGTCATGGGTCTTTTCAAAGAACAATGCAACAAAGAGACAGTAAGAAAGTTAATGTAAAATAACTAACCTTTTTTCTACGGTATACAGATAATAATAAACTAATTACTGCATTTATAATTTGGAAAGTATGTATGATTTTATATGCAACTAATATTAATAATGTTATTTCAAGCTCTATGCTGCTTTTAGATTAGCTTTGATAAAAATAAACTAAGTATGTAATACATTTATAATTTAGAAAGTATGTATGATGTTATATACAACTAATATTATTAATGTTATTTCAAGTTCTATGCAGCTTGCGTTAATAAAAATAAACTAATCATATAATGCATTTATAATTTAGAAAGTGTGTATGAATTTTTGAAATTTTTTTTTTCAGGAGTCCGCTTTTAACAAGCAAATATTTCGGTTCGTTCTCACTCCTTGTAATAAAATTCGACTATATTATTATTTTTATTTCATGTTCAGTGTAGATTTTAGATTTAGAGCTTTTAAATTTCAATAATGTGCTCAAAAATTCTTCTTAAAGAATCATTTAAAAAAATATATATTTTACTAATTATATTGTTTTTATTTCTATGAATAATTTTCTTGTCCAGAGCTCTTTGAACTGCCTTCAGAAGTCATTATTAAGTTATCATCGCTCTAAATTTAATAGAAACGAAGTTCTTGAACTTTAAATATTCAAAATAAACTTCTTAAAAAATTGAAATTTTTATAACTAATTCAAAACTATTGTCCTTTAATTATCACTGACCCCGGAATCTCTATTGTCTTTAAAATACAGGAATTATATCTAAATGGTAATAATATTAACTTTAAGAATTAATAAATAAAGAGATTGTAAAGAAAATACTATTTTAAAGGTTTGTAACGAAAAAGGCACTTTAATTTCTCGCATGAAATAAACAAAACGAGGAACTGAAAATAATTATTTGTTTTAATCGATAATTATGCATTCACAAATCCTTTGAGAAATTAAAGCTTCGTTAATTCGATTAATGAATAAATATAAAATTAATTAGTGCTCAAAATTTTAATTAAAAGTAAAAATTTATTATCGTGTTTTGACTTAATTTTATCTATTTATACGAATTTTCATAAAATTTCAGTTACAGAATATTAAAACTAAGGTTTACTAAATGACGAGAAACAATTTGTTGTTATTTTAACTTCTAGGAAACATTGATTTAATGTTGATTTATTTTTTCATTAATAAAATTCATAAAATGCTTTTTTAATAAGGTTAAGGTAGCAACCGGTGTATTTTTAAAGAAAGCGATGAATAATTAATAAACAAATACGAAAATGATGTCTTAGAATATTAAATTTACTAGAACCTTAGTTTATTGCTTTTCGTATCTTTCAATTAAACGAACGTTTTAAAATTTTACCGTTTCCTACAAAATTCCGTGTAGGTTGTGTCCTTAAATGTGTTTATAATTAGACAGTGCAATTGTCTCCAGAAGTTCAATTTAACTCGAAATGCAAATGAATATTCATTTGATTGCATTAGCATATTCAATTATTAAGAGTTCCTTTCCTCTACATTATAAATACATCAGACGTATATTAAATAAATTCAATTGAATTCTTAATATGTAAATTTTCTTTTACATTTCTTTGCACATTATATTGAGGAACCCATATCGTAGTCAATTAGTTTAAATTCTTATTTTAATTTAGATTTCAATTAGGAAAATAAAAATGTATAATTTGCTAAAAGGGGTATTGGGTCAAATTTATGGTAAAAAAATTAAGTGAATAAAATTGCCTAATTTTGTACGAGCAGCAAGGACAAACCGGTTAATTGTTAATTCCATTTTCGTATGTCCTCTTAGCACAAAAAAAAACTTATTTTTTCTGTAGAATAATTCGTTACCAAATTTTTTATAATTATTGATCAACAAAATTTATAGCTGAGAATTTTGAGAAATATTTCAAAAATACATACTGAAAAAAAAGTATGATTAAAACTTCCAGTATATGGTTAAACTTACTTATGGTTATGGTTGTTTCCAACTCTATGGGAACAGTAAATAGCAATTGTTATTTTTACAGAAGCGCTTTGGTAATGACTTTCAGTAAAATTAACAATAAAATATGTTTTTTTTACTATACTTTTTAGTAGTAAATGTGGTAGGTTTTGTTGCTTCTATCACAATAACTTTGCCGTTATTATAAATACAATTTACTTCTCAGTTTTGTATTTTTACTAAATATGTGGTAATTATACTATAATTTTGAAAATTAGAATTTTCTGTAAACCGTTACTATACGAAAGAAAAAATTAACTATTAGTGAATGGATTAAGCACCGCATACTTTTTATTACCAGAATAATAAGGTTTTTTTTTTTAATAACCAGAAATCGCATTACCAAACAAATATTTTCTTTGCGCACCATATAAAATCATCTGATTTAGAATATTGCTTTTTTTTAATAATTGTTTTTTCGAATAATTTAAGATATTTTTATGGCACAAATAGATTCATGCAAAAGTTTTAAGTTCTTTAGAATTTAAATGCAAGTTTTACCATGTTCTCTGTAAAAAATATCTTTCATAATTTCCTTTCACATGGGCGAATAACTAAATTACTAATCATTTATTTTGTTTTTAAAAATTCTCTTCCTTTCACTAATTATCTTATTGTTGATTATTGCTGTATCAGTTGAAAATTTAAACCAAAACTTTAAAATTACTGAAAGATTTAAGATTTTTAATTTGAAAACTAATTTGAAAAATTTGTTTCATTTTAAATCAGAAGCGAACATTATAAAATAACAAACATAAAATTTTTTCGAAATAAGGAAAATCAAATTTGAAAACCATTTTAAATGAAAAATAAATAATCGAACTGGAAAAAAAGAAATATAAATTCTTTTTTTTTATTTGTCTTGCTAGGTACACTGTTTCGGATCAAATTAAGATGCAAATTACTGACATTCTGTGTGCAGTATCCGTATAATCTCTTTTACACAAAATTTTATACCGTAATTTTATTATTTATTAAATTACAGTGATTCAGGAATTTTACAATAAATATTAATATAAAAATTTTGGTATATCAGATTTTTTTATTCTGGTAAGTTTTACTGTAATTTCCAAAATTTTTTTAAAAAATTATGCCTTCTCTTTAGGTACGTTTCTGGATCGTAAATTAAAGAATTTTTGAGCAATAAAATAAAAACACGTTATTATTGTAATTATCTAAAATTTTCTCTTTGATAAATTTGAAATCAGTTTTCAGTTTTAATTTTTAATTAGTTGACGTAAAAATGCATCATATAAAAGTTAAATGTGAAAGTATATTTTAAAAAAAATTACAAGTTTCTTTTTCTCTTTTTTAAAGTTCATAATATATATATTTTAAAAAGGGAGGCAGGTTGGAATATTTTTTCAGAAAAGTAGACAGAAACATAATTAAAAGTAAAATTTAAAAAATCTTATTAAACATGATTTTTTTTTAAAAAAAAATTAAAGGCTTTAACAGCATTTTTTTTAAAAAAAGAAGACTTGACTTGTAAAAGAAATCGTTAGTTTTTAATGTGCTAAAAACAAATAAATATATTTCTAATTTTTTTTCTTCTTCTGAAAATGTTTTTTTTAATTCTGTAAATTTTGTAATGTTCAAAAGATACTTAAATAATATGAATTTTTCTACTATTTCAGTTTTTCAAACTTTAAAAATACAAAAAATATCGATCAATAAAAAAAAATATTTTTAGAAACTTTCAATAGATTTTTAGGTATTTTCAAGTAATTTCTTCCTTATTTCTCTTTCTTATTTTTTTAAACTGCATGGAAAAGCAGAATTTTTAAAAACATTAAATGGCGAAAAATAAAATATTCGAAACTAAAATATGAAAAAAAAAAATTTTTCTTTTCAACTATTAAAATTAGTTTTATCTATTATTTTTATATTTAAAAATGCTTGAGGTAAATGAACAAAAATACAAGCTTGAAATTAAAAAATGTTCAAATAAACAATACTTTCTTTCTTTTTAAAGTTTAAAAAAAAATTCGATAAAAAGTGAAAAAAGCATGTACTATATTCAAAATTATCTAAACAAAATCTCTTTTTCTTACTATGCTTTTAAATATTTATATCATTATTGCCATGTTTTATTGTTCAAGAGTTGAATAAACACGCATATACTCTTCTGAAAATTACAGTGCGCCAACTTTTCATATCTGACAATATTTAGTGTTTAAATCCATTAAACATTGCACTATAATTAGCCATTTTCATTTTGAAAACTCTGAATAAGAAACATCAATAAATATTTCATTTCCCCGTAAAACTGTGAACCAAATAACATATGTTTTCAATTGCTTACATTGTTTTCAACTACGAATGTAATTGTTGTTTACCGAATATATATGTTTGCAGAGTTCGTTTTTAGATAAACCAATTTGGGTTTCATCTAGCTCACTTATTGGTTTTGAGAATATTTTTACAATAAAGTTTTGTTTCCGAAGAGCCAATTATTCCCCATTAAAATGATATACTTATGCAATCGCATTTATTGGACCTTTTGTTTCGTTTCTATTGTAAAAAACTTTGTAGTTGTGAAGTTTCCTGAAAGATGCAGTTGACAGAATGCTTTACTTTACTGTATTTTACTTTATTGTATAGATTCTGTTGTTCTATTTATTTTACTGCTAACTGTTCTCAAAGTTATAATTGTTTTGATGAAATAATCAATAGGAGGAATTATATAATATTTAATATTAATCTTCTGTAGCAATTTAATTTAAAGGAATATTAGTAAATGCGTGCTTCTTAAATAAAGAATACTTTTATCTGGACAAAGATTTTTTAATAATAATTGTCCAGAATAGTAATTATTTTAATTTTGTTTTGTTTCTATTGTAAAAAACTTTGTAGTTGTTGAAGTTTCATGAAATATGCAGTTGACAGAATGCTTTACTGTATTTTACTTTATTGTATAGATTCTGTTGTTCTATTTATTTTACTGCTAACTGTTCTCAAAGTTATAATTGTTTTGATGAAATAATCAATAGCAGAAATTATATAATATTTAATATTCATCTTCTGCAGCAATTTAATTTAAAGGAATATTAGTAGATGCGTCCTTCGTGATGCGTAGATTCGTGATAAAGAATACTCTAATACTGGACAATTATTTATTATCTAAAGAATACTGGACAATTATTTTTTTAATACTGATTCTTAATAATGTGTTCTCAAGCACATGATAAAACGCAAGTTGTTTTAAATCAGGGTTGGCAATAAAACTGAAATGAGCTAATGACATCATCTTCTTTTTTTTTTAGAAAAAAAGATAAAATTGGTTTTTTTTTTCAGAAAATATCTGCCTTATTTCTCGCGAAAATAATTCATACAATAAATAAGCAATACAAGTCTTAAAAATAATTCAGTGTTTTAAAATTACTTACTGAGATAATTCAGTATATTTCAATCCTAAGGTTTTCTAAACTGTATGAAATTCCGTAATTTTGTTAATCTATTTTCTGTAAATTTGTATGATCCCTTTTTAGAGCAAAAGCTCCCCTTTTGATTCTTTTTTTCCCTTCTTTCCTGTTCAAAAGCTTTCTGATCAGTTCCATTTTTAGAGCATCTTCAGCAAAAATAGTAAAGCTGACCGTTAAATTAAACACGAAGCATTCTACCTTATTCTACTTCCTACCTTATTCTACTTTCCTTTCTACCTTATTTTAATAAAGCAAATACTTATATTTCACACTATTACAATTTTAATGTATCGAGAATTTTAAAGTAAGAGTCATACAAAATTTAATAATTTTATTTCTGCATAAAATTATACAGTTTATGGTGATTCTAGTGATTTTATAATTGAAGACATTTTTATTTATTCTTTATTTACCTATACTTTATCAAAAATTATTTTTACTTATGGTTATGATTAAAGAAATTAAATTATAAAAAGATAAAATATATAATTTTTTTTATTCTAAATCATTCTAAATTCAAATTGTTTCTTAACCAAACCTAGGTTTAGCATTTTGTATTATCGTAATAAATTACTTTCATTATCACTTAGGTTTCAAATAACTTTATATTGCATCAGCCATCGATATTAAGCTTCCTTACTACAACATGACAATTATATTATTAAAATATGTAATTATATTATTATAGTTTTACGATAAGTATAACAACAATTTTGTATTAATGAAAATTATTTTGAAAATTTTTAATTTATTTTAGTTCTCAGAATTTTTTTCATATTGTGCATTTTTGCAGAAGCCTAAAATTAACGGCAATAATTTTAGCAATCCTTAAGTTGAAATCTGAAAGAAGAAAATAAATCTTATGCAAGCGATTTATTTCGTGATGCAATTCGCTTTGAATGAAAACGATAAAAACAGTACAGTTTATTTTTCTCAATTATGTTTTTTTTTTTTTTTTTTTTTAAGTCAAGAATATTTTTATTTTACCAAATAATAATCCTAAAAAGCATTTCATATAGTGATTTAAAAATAAAATCGATTAATTTCTATCATGGAATAAAAAAAAATCTATATTGCATTCGTTTAATCCATTTATTCCAAAATGAGAATTGATTCTGAGTAAATGATTTTATAAATTGAAAGCGATTATTTTTTATTAAATTGCTATAGTTTAAGCATTTATGTTCACGTATCAAATGTTTATCTTTTAAACGTTTAAATATCGTTCAACGTTCGTTATCGTTATCGTTACCAATCGTTTTTGATTAATTTTTTACCTTAAATAAACTTTTGCATAACCATTGTCAATAAAATTTTAAAAAATTGCTTATCTTAAATTTTGGCGCTGCTGGCGCAAATTACAAAATCAAAAATGGGAACCATTGTTGTGCATATGCATTATTGTGCTTAATAATTATTTGTGCCTGCTAATTCGTCCCCCTTCTAAATGCAACAAATAAATTCTCTTATTGCAACAAATTTAGCTGTAACAACTATTTTCATTATTAACAAAACATTGTTTTGTTTTAGAAGCAAAATATGAAAAAGTCCAAATCTAAATCGAATACTAAGAAGAAGGAAAAAGTTTCAACTTTAAAGTTGAAAAAGAAAAGAAATAGTTCTCCCCATACTGAAGGAAGCTCAAAAATCATAAAGAAAGAACAAGTTCCTCGAAAATCTCGTTGGGAGGAGTCAGCAAAAGTTGATCAAGATTTAAAAAAAGTAATTTTATGAACTTTTTATCAAATTTTTTCAATGTATATAATTTGTAACGCAATTCTATTTCAGTAAATGAGCATGTTGTTCAGAAATTGTGCATATGTGAAAATGAAAATGTCAAGTTTGAAGTCCGGCATTCTAAGGAATATTTTTAGCATTTTATTGAACACTGAAACCTGGTTGCTGAAAGCAATTAAATATTTCACGTATTGCTAGGCATGGAATTTGTTTAAAAATTAATAAGATTTTACCGTTATTTATTCAAATAAAATTTGATAAATTTTTGCGTCGTGAATAAATTATTTTTGAAAACTTTTTTAAAGTTTTATTCCAAGAAATCTGAATGCTAGAAATTGTGTATTTTAACACGACGTTATTACACTTTAAATTTGATTCTTGAAAAATTACAGGCGATTGATCTTAATTTTATTTCTTCAAATTTACTTCTAATTCGTGAAATTTAAAAAATAATTATTGAATTGTAAGTATTTTTCTAAAAAGATTGGTTAGTTTGATTAAGTACATGCGAATAAAGTCAGAATTTTTTTTTTTAACAAAATGATCAAGAAAGGTTATTATATCGGCAAAAAATATGAGATAGCTCTATAAGCGAATATAATTGCCTATCTTTTTGCTAAAATAATACCATTAGAATAGTTTCGAGTCCTAAACTAAACATAAATAATAAGCTAAAATTAAACGAAAAAATAAAAATCTGAGCATAATCCCAATATTAACTTCACATTTATAGATTTTATTTAATGTTACTCTACCATTTATCTATATGATCTTATTTATATCTGTGTGTGATATATGTATATACATTTATATAATACCATTTTTATAGAAACAAATTATCAATTTATCGTATATCCCTTTTACTCCACCTGATTTTAACTGATTCCTTTAAACAAATGTGAATTCTTAAAATAGATTTTAATATTTTTGATATAAATGTTTTGTCAAATTTACAATTTTATTCAAAAAATAATTCAATTAGGTTTTAGATATTTAAAAAAAAATATTTTAAGATGCAATACATTGTTGTTTCTAACTTATTTTATTTTTGACTTAACATGGATTTAAATTAATACGTATTGAGCTTCATATAATAAATACAACCTGATCATTATTTTGTTCATCATAATTCTATTAGTAGCGATAAGTCGAGACCTCAATTTTTAATTATATTTAGACCGAAACTTCAGTTTTACCCATGAAGACGGAGAAAGAAGACGTTACAGAATCTCCTAGAATCAAGAGTTTGCTAGAGGACAAGAAGAAGCTAGTGGAGCAACTTTTCGTCACTGTTTCTGGAAAGACACTTGATGATTTAATCCCGGATTACTTGCGGGTAAGTAAAGGGAAAATCATATTTCTTTAGCGGGAGTTTCCCCTTTTTTTAAGTGGAAAGACGTAATTCAATGATCCTATCCTGCTTGAGCGTTTAAATTTAAACCAATTAAAGGTTTCCTAATCTCATCTTTCAACAATAAGTCTCTATGATTAATTTAGATAATTTCTGGAATGGACAATTTGTCGACGCAGAATTCTTAATTATGTTACAGGACACGTACTTGTTTCAGTATATTATTCTGATGTCTAAATATTAGTTTTAAAAAAAAGTCTATTAGTAACCTGATTTTGATCATTGGAAGGTAATTTAATAATTTTTGTTGTGTCATATTGTTGGTTCTGGAAAAATGTAGGATTGTTAAATGTTAAATAGTATCTTTTTCTCAAACCATTGATAGAATAGAGTGGTTCAGTAAACGCGAAGGTGTATTTTGTTTTCAATACATTCAAAGCAGCTTATATCATTCTAGTTAAGAACGCATATCTCCCCTAACGCACTGCGATGAGGTTCCGAGTTGAGGAAAAAATTTCGTTAGATATTTGAGAGTTCACGTTTCGTCACAAATCACGTGATATCGTAACAAAATGATACTCAATATTAACGAAATACAGGTTAAAGATACAATCGTCAAAAGTGAGGGTTTTATTTCCGAGAGTGTAATCTTTGAAAATCAGTGATTATATTAAATTTTGTTAGAAACAAAGTTTAAAGATAACAAATGGTATTTCTTTTTATTAAGACAAATACGCGTTTCGGTGACACATTGGTACACCTTCATCCATAGGATAATTTGCAAGGATAGTAAAACAGAGATGATTTAATATGTCTTACTAAAGAGATAAGTGTACAGTTTAAGGTCAAATATTAAATTGACAGGTAACACATTGGTACACCTTCATCCGGTGGTCATGGAGTTCGCCTCATACCAGAAAGATCCCACTATGAATGTAATTTATCTCTCTGTTTCATCTGTTCTTGTGTTGTTGAGGTGACATTAATCCACCTATATAGTACCTACGAAAAAGTGAAAAACAATGCTGCCCGTTAGATACCATCAGGCACTACACGTTTTGACTTTTGACGAAATTCATTTCCTTCGAAAAAAGGCGCGATAGTTATTTCGTCACTTTTAGCTAGCTCGAAGTTACTCGTCACTTTTAGCTAGCTCGATAGTTATTTCGTCACTTTTAGCTAGCTCGAAGTTACTCGTCACTTTTAGCTAGCTCGATAGTTATTTAGTCACTTTTAGCTAGCTTCTTAGGCTAGCTCGAAGCATGTATCATAAATTGGTTTCCTCAAAAACAAAGATTTCGTGTGATTTGAGTATCCATTTCTTACAGTGCAGCTTAACATTCATGGTTGTTCAAAAAACTATATGACTTTTCAATTTATTGACTGAAAAAAAAATCACAATAACTGTTTTATAAAATCATGGTAATGGATTTCATTTTCAAGTATAACTGACATAATGAAATAAATGACATATAAAATGAAGAAAAAAAAATTTTTTTCATACAAAATTATTTGGAAAAAAAAAGAGTTGACAAAGTTACAAAATAGTTATGAAAAATTTAAGAGAAATTTTCATGCAAAGTAGTGGGAGCGAAACTTTGACCTAAAGTTAGATTAATGGAATTACATTTGTACAACAATTTGTGTGATTACTTCTAACCTTACAATCTCTTTAGTTACTCAACTCAATCCAAACCTCTTCCATAGCGTGAAAATGTGTTAAAAGAAGCGTGCTGTAGAGCTGAACGATATTAGATTAAATATCATGATGTATCTATAGAAAATATAATGTTTCGTGATATATCGCAAAACTTTACAATAATTTACATTACTTTTAATCTGGTTAATATTTTCGTCTCCCAAAGGAAATTTGTCAAAATTCAATATAGTATTTTGTATTCAATAAGTATTCTCATCGATAATGCTCAAGACATTATTTACCGTTATGGATAATGTTTACGACATTATCGTGGTCGATATTTATCGTATATCAGATGTATATGTCTAATAGTCAAATATATTCACGATACATTTTAAGATTATTTTGTGAAATGTTTCTATCGTGAGATTTAGAAAATATCTATAATTCAATATTTCTCGATATATCGATTCCTGGACCAGCTCTGTGTGAAGAATAGTTTAATACGGAGTTTGTTTAATTAACCTGAAGCTATTAGTTTTGAAGCCAGATAACTTTTGACTTTCTAAAATTATCAAGTATTAAAATTAAAACGAAAATCTAAGTTAGAAATCTATTTTAATTTTCTGGTCGATGATTTTTAATAGTATGGAGATCTCAGCTTGTTCAAATTAACTTTCATACTCTGTTTTTAGATACATTAAAAACGTATTTTAAATTGAGTCGGTTTCGTTAAATAAGACAAGTAGTTTTTGTAAACTTACGTAGGGATAAGTAAATCTATAGTATTGTCCTTATTTTGTAATTTAGTGGAGTTAAAAACCGAGAAAAATTGCAGTTTGAAAAACCTCATCGATTTATAACTAGTCTGGAATAGACAAAAACATTGAATATTGCAAAATATATTTGTAAACAACAAATGAATAAATAAAGTTCATCTGACTGATACTATACGAATTGTGAAAAATTCCAGATCAAATTACGATGTGTAGCGGAAGTTTGGGTACATTATCCATAAAATCCATTTTTACCGTGAAATTCATTTTTACCGTAAAATATTATACCATAACTCTTACGGTAATATTAATATAACTAGAATAATTCGGAGATTTTACTGTCATTATTACTGTAAAAATTACGGTATATCAGAATTTTTTAGTTCCTTAAAATAATCCGGTAAAAATGGTTTTCACGGTAAAAAGTACCGGCATCCTTATTGCCGGTACTTTTTACCAGAATTGCATCCGGATTTTTTTACAGTGAGGGGACACACTTTTTCTTCATAAGATCAAGGTATTGTATTAAGCTTTAATGAAGTTATCTCACTTTAAATTTAGAGATTTTTTTAAAAGAATTGCAGGTGTATTTAAACTTTCGTTTTGTACTATTAATGATTTAGAAGTCTTATAAATCGTGTTTCATCATCGCTCTTTATTTTATATCTCGTCACTCAGCGAACTATAACTCTGTTGTTCCTGAAAAGACAGCAGAGAGACTTTATTTTCTTTTTTTGAAGAGAATACTCCTTTATTCTTTAAAGATAAACTTCAACACCTGAAAAGTAATGTCCATATTTATTCAGAGTCACTTTTAAGGACAGATTATGTTTGTTCAGAGACACGCATAGTCACCCTACTTGATGATCCTACCGATATTTAAGAAGAGGAAAAAATGTCTCCACCATGGTAGAGGCGAAATATACAATGAGGTTTAAACATTAATTGCGAATAGAAGATTTAATAAATTAAATAATAAAATCGAGTTCGCTGGTAATGATGTTAAATGTGAAGTTTGTCTCTCTGTCTGGATTTTCAAGGACACAAATATTTTTTCTATCAATTTTGATTGTTCAAATTTGATAGTCAAGTAACGGAAATACCGTGAATGAAAGTTTGGTTCTCGCCCCACTAGCTATCAAATACCTGTTGTGGTTGTTATTGTTTTTTTTATAATTCCACTTTATCGACAGCAGAGTCAAAATCAAGTCCATGAACCCATGATTTTTCAAACTATCAAAAATTACTTGTGTTGACTTGTGTTTGTTCGGGAAAACTTAAAAATTAGGCCAAACAACGTGTTTTGTTTGCAATAGAAAACTGTATACCAAATGCCTGGTTGTTCTTTTAAAGTTTTTCATTCAAATTAGTTTTTGCTGTAGTATTAAAATATAATGAAATAATTTATAACATTAAACTTGAATAAATATTATCATTTAATAAATAGCAAATTCTTAATTTAATATAAGAATTAGTAAAATAAAATAAAATGTTGAATCGTAACAATAGTTTGCATAAACCTAAAAATGAGGCCAAACAACGAGAGTTTTTGTTCACATGGAAAACTATATACCAAGTATGCGGTTCTTTTTCTTCTTCACTGGGTGGGCCTTGGATTTCTCTAGGAGTTTCCTCAGATTGTCCCTCTGTTTGGATACTGTCCTCCAGCTTTAGATTTTCAAAATGTTGATGTCCTTCTCAACACTGTCGATCCACCTAAGATGTGGACTTCGTCTTGTTCCCAAAGGTTTTGATACAAAATATTTTCTTCCAGTTTCGGTCTTCCTACTTTCTGAATAAATGTTCAGCCCATTTTAGTCTTTGTATTTTCATGTACTTGACAATACCAGGCTCCCTTAAGATTTTATACAGCTCTGAGTTAGTTCTTTTTCTCCATGAGCAGCTTACCTGAGTTTCACTACTAATACTTCGCAGTACCCTTCTTTTAAAATCTGATCTTAAATAGGTGAAGCAATCTACTTTTTCACTCTTGTATTCCTCAATTTCTAAGTGACTAATTTGGAGATCTGAATTTGGAGATCTGAATTTAAACACGGCATATACTTAGTCTTTTTTTCGTTCACTACTAAATTCATTGTCTTCGCCTTTCGTTTTAATACAATAAAGGCTTGTTTAAGAGCTTAGGTAGTCCGATCTACAATAATGATATCGTATGCATAGGTCAATAGGTGAACTGACTTACTAAAGATATTTCCTCTGGTGTTAATGTTAGACTCTCTGAAAACCTTTTCTAAGGCAATATTAAGAAATAGCCTAGCCAATGCTTCTTGACGTACGCCGTTTTTTATATCCAACTGTTCGGTCAGGTTACCCTGGATACGTATTTGTATCTTTGTTTCCTCAAAGGTTAGAGCCATCAGAGAAAGAAGTTTCTCTCGTATACCCAGTTCATGCATAGCTTCCAGAAGGAATTCCCCAATCATATGCAGTTTTGATGATGCAGACTATGAAAAAGTTATGAGTGTCAATTCTATATTTTCTTCACTTTTCTATAAGCTGCAGAAGATCTGCTCGACTGTCGATCTTCCCTTTCTAAACCCAAATTTATA